GCAGCGTGAAATCAGGACTTTCCAGCCTAGTGAAAATGAGATTTCAGGCCCTGTTCTGGGTGGATGCCAAATGAAAAGACCTTCGCTTCTCAGCCTAGACTCATTGATTAGACGGTCCTATTCCCCACGACCAGCCAATGGGCATCGAGCATACTCCCTTTGAGTCATTCCTTTCCATTCTCTCTTACAGCGTATTTAGTATGGGCAATTGCTGCTTCCGCTCCCTTTCCAGGCAGCAATCACAATGGGCCAACGCTTCGAAGTGTTGGTATTTCTACAACAGCCATTGGTTGAGTCAGAGTCATAGAAAAATAGCCTCCACTCAAGCCTATCCAGCCATAAACTATTTCCACACTTAAACTTTCAGAACAAACTTGGGATTATATGCATATTAATGGCCAGCACATATTTCCGCTCTTATTCATTAGGAATTATTGAATAATATGACTCAAAAAGAAGGATGAAGCGAGTTTCTGTAGTGCTGCTGACCCCTACTTAATTAGGTCTGGTTCTGGTACTCACTAAGACTTATTTACCACACTAAGCGTCGTGAGTGTGGCACCGGTTTCATAGCCTTATTCACCACGTGTATCTCTCACTGCTATGCGTCTTAGCTGCTCGAATCGATTGCCCACTCTATTTTCGTCTACAGGCCCTGTTTGTTGGTCGGTTCCACCTCATCCAACTGTTATGCCTTGGGCTGGTTGACTCAATCACACTGCATTTGATGACACATTCGTGCTTTTTAGCCGCTTTTCCCATTCTTCAGCCCACCGTACTGTCGCTCGCTCTGGTTGCCTTTGTCTCCTGCCTGTCCTCGATTTGAGTAGCCAACTCGGGCTAGGCACCACCGTCCGGTTGGCGACGATGAGTGCGTCAGAGCATGACAAGAGAAGCGACCGGCACAGGAAATGCAGCACGAAGACACCGACGGACAGAGCAGAGGGTGAATGAGCCCGTAGTCGTAGAAAATAGACTAGACTGGCATGTTGGCCAGACACACCGTAAGGCAGGTAACCGGTCCGTCGGCCAACCCGAGGGGGCATGGAATCAGAGGCAAGGGCTGAACAACTTGCTGCCAAACAGATCGATAGGAGAATAGGATAAGATGCATGAGATGCAGGCCCGAGGCCTCCATGAGGACAATTGGACAGACATGAGGGAATAGGGACGGAGAGATATGCGAATGGGATGAATGAT